GTCTGTATCTTCACTCTTGAAATTTGCTTTGCTGAATGCTGTATTTTCTAACCCAATAATGACATTTTCCTTATAATTTCTCAGTTGTTAATTAACCACTCTTAATCCTGTGTTATTACTAACTGACAATTGTTTAAATAAAAGGAAATTTATAATAAAACAAGTATTTGAGAAGATTGGCCCAGGAATCTAGTCAGGATGAGCTGAATTTTAAGTAATAATAATAAGCCAAGTGAATTAGACTTGTGACAGTTAGAGCAATTTACAGGATAGGTGGAACAGATAGTACATATTTAGATATTTTGCTTCTATAGATGTCATTTTAATAAAATGTAAATTTAATTGTATGTGTGGTTTGTCTAGTTAGTAAGAACTTTAATTAACAGACTGCTGGGACAAATCTACTGGTCTTTTAAGAGCTCTTCCCATAAGTTGTGATGCTGTAGCATGATGCAGAGGATCTGTAGCCTGAGATGATAGTGCTTTTTTCTTCTTTGACTTGTGCGGGGCCTCCACCTCTTTTGAATCCAGGCATCTTTTCTGGATCTTGGCTTCATTAGATACTTGCTTTCCTTTGACCCCAAATCACCATAGATGGTGCGTTGAGCATAGCGCCTGCACCTAAAGGCTGCCTGGCACTCTGAGGAAAGCTTGCTGATTATCTTTCTGCTCCAACCACCCCAAAAGAAGAGAACAACAAAATCAATAATGTGCTAATTTGTTACTATAAGGATTGGTGGTTTTAGTTTTAGTTGCTCAGTTGTGTCCAACTCTTGCAACCCCATGGACTATAGCCTGTCAGGCTCCTCTGTCCATAGGGTTTTCCAGGCAAGAGTACTGGAGTGGGTCGCCATTTCCTTCTTCAATTATAAGGATTAGTTATACATAAATAGATTTGTAATGAGAGTAAATAAGTTATTCAAAAGCATGTATAATCACTATAGGATTGATTTAAGAATTACAAAATACCCAAAGTAGAATTTTTGTAGTATCTAATGGGGTTTGGGTTTTGTTTTTAATGGCTATTTGCAAGCTGTCACTGTTAAATTCACACACATCAGATTAATCTGAAAAACCGTGTTATTCTTGGTTATGGTAGGACTCCTGCTATGGTTTGCAATAAGTGATGTAATCTCTGCCTGAGTTTTAGTTTGTAAAATAAATACTAATATTAACCTACCTCAAAACTTGTTGAGGATCTGTGAAATACTGAGTAAGTGCCCAAAATAAAATATTGTTGTCTTTTAGTAAATTTCCTCATTAAACCAGCCTGCCTTCTGTAAAGTCACAAATGATTGAAATCTCAGGATTTTCCATCAGAAGAGACCGGTCATGTAGGACTTGTAGGTTTAAGTAATTGCTTAGTCTCCATTATTGGTGCTTGGGATAGAGGTTATACATTTTTGTATTTCTGTTCTGCTTCTTAGCTCAGTTTATTGAAGGTATAGTTGCAGGCTGTTTCACCATTGCTTGAGTGAAGATTTTTGACTAAGATGGGCTTCATCAAACATTTCTATGGTTTCAGAATTGTGATGTGAGAAATGGCCAATTTAAATAATTGTCCTTATTGTAAATGTATGTTGGCATAAACAAGTTGGAGATAAATACTTCATAAAAACCAGCTAAAATAAATTACCTGTTTCATGTCCAGTAGCTCCTATTTGATAGTACAGTTCTTAGAAGCATTTCATTTTTAAAGACTATATCTGAGTAAAACAATTGTAGTTATTGGCATGTTGGGATAGTAAGAATTGTTGGATTGTTTTGATGAACTGGAGGGAGCATGTTTTCAGTCTCTTTACAAGTTACTCAATATTCTTATGCTGCTCACCTGAAAAAAAAAAATGCTTTTAACTGTTCATCAAGGCCTGTGTTTGTTCTTACTTCACTTGGAATTTGTTCCTTGTTTTATTTGATGTAACAGAACTATACCTCTAAATGTTTATTGATACGTTTTACTAAATCAGACAGGTATTCTTTCTCAGTCCAAATTAGTGAAGTCTCATCAACATTGAAATGTGAGCTCTACTTGAACTGTGCCCCAAACTCTCTCTTTGTTGAGTCTGGGGCAGGTATCCTGTAGGAAGGGCATTTCTGAGTGGCAACAAACTCTGGTGGCCTTTTCACATTTCCCCAACATTCAGACACATTTCTTCCATTTTTCATTTTCCTTTTCCACCTCATTTTCCATCAGCTCTCCCCCATTCACATCCCTGCCTATTTCTTAAGCCCCGTGATGGCATTCAGTAAATGATATTTAGGTTTGATGAATTATCAGTCCTTTGATATCCTCCCCAATATATCGCAACTGTAGACCCATTTTAAATTTTCTAAAACACTATCCTCATCTGGAAGTGACAGCTTTGAGCCACTGTCCTAATTCTGCAATTCAGCATGCACTGCCAGCCTTCCCCCATGTCCCTTCTCCCCCACCGTATCCCTTCTCCCCCTGACACACCACACCACACCTTATAAAATTGGGATCAAAGAAGTTTCATTCTGGAATTGATAATCTAAGGATAAAAATGCTGATTTTAATCTTTCACTAGTTCCTGCCTTTTAAAGTAGGTAGGCCTATGGGTTTTATTCTGGAAATCACTGGTTGGTCACACCATTAATTATGCTTGTATTATGTTATTTATCAACTAAACAGCATTTGAAAGAAAAATCCAATTCCTTTAATATGCCTTCAGATCTGTTACAGCATCTCGTATTTGTGATGCAATAGAACACTTGCCTGTATTAAAAGGGCCAAAAGTAAATGCCTTTTTTGTTGAACATGTCTATAGAGTTGGCAGTTAATGCTGAAATTTGTCAAGTAGCCCTTCCAAAATTAAACTTGTAAAATACACAAAAAATAAATGTCTACCTAGTATCTATTGATTTTATTTGCTGTTTTTGTCTCATTTAAGTGTTGCATTGTTTTTTGGTATATTTTCTGAAGTTGATCCCTTTAGATTTCAGCTACTGTAATATACAGAAAGAATTTGACTATTATAGTCTTAAATTTTGTTTTGGTTTAAATAACATTTGTTTATGAGTTCCTGGCAGTCTAATTTATATTGGTAGAGACTTTGTAATTAAGGTTAACATGAAATATTTGCAGATTGAGTCTTTTCTACCTCATATATAAAACACTCGAGTACAGTACTGTCAGGAAGGTTTAGGAGACAACCCGAGAAATTGTATGTACATACACTTGACCGCCAACTCTGGGAGTGGTTGAAAATTGTGTGTAACTTTACACTCTGCCCCCCTTATCCGTGTTATACATCCACGGATTCAACCAACCTCACGTGTGTAGTATTGTAGTACATATTTAGTGAAAAATTCCACCTAGAACTGGTCCTGTGCAACTCAAACCCATGTTGTTTAAGAGTCAGCTGTTTTTTTTAATATGTGTGTGTGTGAGTCGCTCAGTCGTGTCCGACTCTGCGACCTCATGGACTGGAGCCCACCAGGCTCTTGTCCATGGGATTCTCCTGGCAAGGATACTGGAGTGGGTTACCATTTCCTTCTCCAAAATTTAATACAAGGTAAAAGTATTAACATTCCTTAAGAGAAGTAGAAATAACATTCCAGGAAGTCTAGAGGAATACATTATTCATTCTAGGGGATAAATGGGATGGGTGGTAGTCGGAATTTTAGAGGCAGTTTTGAGAGAGAGGTTGCTGTAGTCACTGGAGAAGGGCAGAAGAAGAGCATTTTAAGTAAAGGAGCTGCTATTCTCAAGTAGGTAAGGAGTTAGGAAAATGTGGCTCTGTATAAGGAAGTTTGGTTGCAGATCATGGCGTGTGAGGGTAACTTGATTTTTCTCTGTAGCATTATCCTTCCTTCCAGACTTCAACTCAGTAAATGACACCTCTGTGCACTTGCCCACTGGAGTACTCAAACCAACTTTGGAAGTTACCCTTCATTCCTCAGAGGCTGTTAGCAACATCCACCAAAATACACATTGAATTTGTCGATTCCTCTTCACTGCTGGCACCACGCCCCAAGCCAGGATTTCTTATCTGGACAACTGCTATAGTTCCTAATGTGTCACTTTCCACTCCCGCTCCCTTGTGCGTGCTGCATCCCACCCGTCCCCCCTGCCCCATCTCACTTTCATTCTTAAATCATATCCAAGATCTTTTTGCCTGTGTTGAATTCGGGTTTCTTTTCCATTAAACACAGCACTGGTTCATGGTTTGGCTAGCTCTTTTTCATTCTCATCTCAACTCAAATTTGACTTCCTTGGAGGAAGTCTTAATTTATTATTGTCTCCCTAGCACCTAGAAACAGCTTGTACATACTCAGATGCTTGTTGAATGGATAAAGTGAATTGGAATATTTATTGGAAATTAAATGAGAGACCAGGTTAAGGATATGGATGCAGAGAGATTATGCTTGATTCTCCATCTTGGTCATGTCTAGCATTTCCTTCCTTGCAGAATTAGATTTCTTTTCCTGCTTCTCCTAGCTTTTTTTAAAAGGTAAAACTATACTCGTAGTGATTCTACGGTCAAGTAGTATAGGGGTACATGGTGCAAAGCTAAGAATCACAAAATATGCCT